AGGATTTAAGATTTGTGGGGCTTGGATTCTGAGTCTGTCTGTCGTCGACACCTCCCCATTGCATCTGGGCTAAAGAAATAAAAGCTTGAATTCAGACTGAACCAGTCCCACAGGCCACCTCTCCTATAAGAACAGGCTTCTGAGATGCACACAAGGGGACTCGGTCCTCAGCACCATCACCTTGCAGAGGTGGAGCCAGTCTCTAGTATCACAGCCCAACATCTGAACAAAGCAAACACCATACTAGGAACGCTGGGCTCCTGCCATACAAAATCTCTCAGTGTGCCTCCAGAAAAAGTGACAGGTCTCATAGAACAACGGGGATGCCCTTGACACGCGTGGGCAGCTGTTGGGGACAGTTCACTCCTGCCTTGTTAATTCCTCACAGAACTCCGAAGACCCTCAAACAGCTTACTCTGGGTTGCTGAAATACCTTTTCATGTCAAGAGTCATATATTATTATTTTTAAAATACAAAACAAAAGCAAAAACCTACACTTCTTGTGGATAACAGTCCTGATTTTCACAATTTTCCATCCCTAAACTGACTAGATCCTTTTTAATGGCGCTCGTGCCCTCAATCAGGGCTGTGTAAACAATTCGTATTACAAATTTCATGAAGACACATGTGAACATTTAACAGGCTTTGGGAGACATTCAGAGTTTAAAATGTCTAGGTGGATTTTCTTTCTTGGAGATTATCCGGTCCTAGTAACAGGCAGAGAAAATATTTCCCATGCCTGCGAGTATTTAGGCCTTTCTTTGTATGCCTAGAGCTTTTTCTTCCAGAAAGGGGAAGTGGTGTGCACTAGGGGGTGGGAAAAAAAATGACGAGGGAGGTGAAAACTCTGGCTGGAAGATCAGATTCCAAGCAGGATTCCTTCGCCAATTCCAGTTGTGTGAAAGCGCCGGACGGTGTTCATTTTCACTGTATCTGCTCACTTAATTGTTTCTGCCTGCTCATTTCATTCTGCAGTGAAAACATTAGCCTAAGGGACATTTGAAAATCAAAAGGTATGTTTGAAGTTTAACAGGAAATGAACAGTGGTGTTACTGCAGCACTAAAGGAAAAGTTGAGAACCAGAAAGAAACAGCCCAACCTATCAGTTCTCTCTCTCTCTCTCTCTCTCTCTCTCTCTCTCTCTCTCTCTCTTTCTTCTTACTTTTTAGTCTCTAAAAGTCAAGATAGAAAAGAAACAAAAACAAACAAAACACATTGCACGGGCCCTGCATTTTTACATGGCTGGGTATTCAACAGATGCTGTGAGGTATGCTCTGATGGAATCAGCTCACATGAAATGAAAATCAAGAGATTTTGAACTGTTATGTGGGAATTTATAAAATCCTGGATGGATTTCCTGACAGCTATAATTATTTAATTCTTTTAGAATTACCCCTCTCCACCCCCAAACCTCTTCTTGCCAAAATTATCAAGACAAAAAGGAAGTAGTGGGATGGTTAGAATCTGAACCATCTCAAATGCCAAACTGACCAAATAATTGTGTGCGTTTCTGCTTTGTTTATAATGGAAGAGCACTTCCGCTTGGCGCCATGCATGTGCTAGCTGCCTTCAACCTCTAGCAGGGACATTGTCTTCAGACAGAACAACACTGGAACTTCAGACATGTTCCACTCTCCACTTGCCTATGTACACCCAAGGCAGTGTGGTTTAATCCCCATCGGCATGGCTTATGCTAACTGCTGTGGTGTTACCAACTCAAGATGAGGTATAGACATTGTCCATCTCCTCCCTGATCACAGACACAACAGAGGAGATGTTCAAACACCACCCTTCAAGGTTTTACAACATGCTTCACCTTAACAAGGAAACCAAACAGTTCCAGAGAGCAAAGCAAGCCGTCAGCAAACTTCTTTAAAATAGCCCAGCCGGATACAGACATTTTAAGAGTTGAATAATGAGGTGGAAAATATCAGAGTTGAAAAAATAAACAAAAGACTAGGTTTTTCAACATATGAAAGTCATGAGACCATCTATTTTTGGAAGTATTTTGGATTAATTCAGGTGGCTGTAATGAGGACCAGCCAGATAATAAGCAAGAGCCCTTGCCTGCCTTTGAAGAACAATGGATTCAATGTAGATCCAAATTTGTAAAAGGAACAACCATGAGTTTATGTGTGATTATCTCATGAAAAGACCGCCAGAGTTTGGAATTCTTTTGCTGGCACTGTCTTTCATAGACATGGCACACCTGGAGAAATAATTTAATCAGTAGTTAGATTCAGTTATTCATTGGCCATGCACTGCACTCATCAGTCTGAGGAACAGCGAGATGCAGGAACTGTTGATTATGAAAGTGGGGAGAGCTGGCTCCGTTAGCTACCTTCCCAGCGACCATTCTCCGTGGAGAATGTAATCCTTTGGCGGTTTCTATTCCTGGAATGGACTCAGTATTTGTGGTGGCAGAGAGTGGGGGTGCAACACCAGTTATGGGTCTGAAATGGGAAAAGCAAAGCAAAGCAAATGGACAAATTGCACGTTAAATACATTGAAGGGAGGGGCTGTATTTTCACAGGTATCAATTATCAGCGTTACAAGTAATAAATAATGCTAAATAAAACATGTAACTAAACGGGCATTAAAGGGCCTTTACGTATATAGAAGACAAGAAAAGCTTTTCCCCCCCTTCCTATGCCGCAGACTGCAGGCATTTCCCTCTGCCTCTGTCAAGTGCAATTCTTTCTTGATGAATGACAAGGCAGGATAATAGGCTGTGGTCACCATGGCAACCAGACAGCAGCCCTGTGTGCCTAGCATTTTTTCATCTGAAAATGAAACCAGAAGCAAAGAAAAGCTGAAAATGTAACCAACAGATTAACTGATACAAAAAAAGAAGAAGAAGAAAAGAAAGAAAGGAAGAAAATGGGAACAAAAAGCCAAGTTAGATTACAAGCAATTTAATTACAGTACCTAGTCCTAACCACACTCTCTCACTCTCACACATCAGAAATTTTAAACACTATTTGATAAACATGAAAAAAATGTGTTTTATCTCTTTTCTCCAAAAGGCTTCATTTCTTTTTAAAATCCAGAAATCTCTATTTTGTTTTGTTTTGTTTTTGTTGTTGTTCCTTTCTCTGTTTCTGTTTTTGTTTTAAGGCAGTTAATTCCATCAAACATGGCAGTTCATTAAGCTTCAGGTGCTGGTTTGTTCTGGAATTTCTAAATTCCTCTCCATGGTCTCTTGCCTGGACTCCCCAGAGACCGTAGGGTTCACGTGCAACAGTTTTATCTGGGGCCTGGGTGGGGCAGGCAAGAAGGGAGACCTAGAGCTGAGCAATAAGAAAACTGTCTGTTAGCCTCGTGGATGCTGTAGACTCTGGAAACTGGGTATGGACTAAGAGTGTTAGTCAGGGTTAGTCAGATCTGCAGCTCCTCTGATCCATCTCCATTCCTGATCAGGGGAAGGTGGCTGGGCTCCAGGCAGTTGTAGGTCCTGACCATTTGCTCCATCTCAAAAATCTTCAATGCAGTTTTTCTCCGAGACATTTCCAGTCTCTGCTAGACAGACACCAATAAACAAGAGAGCAGACCTGGAGAGCAGACCTACAGGAGTGTGCCTGGAAGAGTGATGGTCCTTGCACTGGATATTTGGTACAGGCAAAGAATTTTCAGCTGGTGCTTAGAGGACAAATGCCCCATCAGGAGCTCACTCCTGCAACTCGAGGAAGATGAGGCACAAATTAAACATGTCTCGGGGCCAACATGCCTAGTGTGAGTTTTAGCTCAGCTCTAACCCTTGGTGATATCAGAATGCATATCAACACTCAGTGTCAAGGAATCAGTTACTAACCTCTCTGACCTACAGCAATTTAAAATCTCTAAACTGGGCAAATTTTATCTACTTTTCAGGAAAAAGAGAATTCCTGAGGTCATATGGCAAGAGTCAGTCAGAGAGTCTCTCTTCTCATGATCAGAACGTAGAAATGCCTGTGTAGTCTGTGTGTATGCTGTTGTGCAAGGCAGATAATGAAGAAAGAGATTATGCATGCACAACCACCTGTTTCAGAAGGGTGTGGACAAAATAGGTTATCCCACACGGGGTGCTTTGAAAAATATGAGGTCACTTGTGAAGAGGCAAGCGAATCACCAAGAGATGTCGCATAACTTCATAGGAGAGTCCCAGACCTGGTGCTCCCACCTGTCCTAACATACAGAAAGGACTGATCAACTTTGCACTCTCTTTTGGGAACTTGTCTTTGAAGGGAAAGAAGGCTGAAAGAAAGAAAGAGGCCCCCAGAGCAGTTGACAGATGTTGGTGGAAGCACCAGGCATCCGGATACTGACAAGTGGCCAAAATGTGCCGGTACAGAGTCCTCCCAAACTTCCCTCTCACATGCCCAGTGGTTGCACTGGCCACCCACAGCAAGGCCTAATAAATCCTCCTTTTGTCCCCATTTCCCCAACACACACAAATGCAAAGTAAACAGTTGGATCAAAGCTTTTAACGTGCTCTGTACTGTTTTATTTGAAAAGATCAGGTCTGATATTTGAGAGGAAGAGTCCATCTGGCTGGGCTGAGCTCAAGAAGCCTCAGACAAATTGTAAACAAGACCAGGGCACAAAGTCCTCAGGGCCCACAGCCTGCTGCTGCCACACTAGAGTTTGTGAGCTGGATTTCCGTGGTCTCTCATGCAAAGGGAACCCCGTAGGATTGAAACTGACCCTCACAAACTTCCTCTAGAAGTTTCTAGCTCATATATCGCATGATATCGTTGATGGCTAGCTCTTTCTAAGCTTCTATAGGCCTAAGATGGCACCTATCAATAGTTTCAGAGTTTGCAGTCAGAACAATTACGTGGTTTACACACCATTAAAAACCTTAGTTGTTCAAATAAACTCCTTAATAACTAGAGTTAAAAAAAAAAAAGACGAGGAATGAAGATGATAGGAAAGGAATAATTGCTTTATTAAGCATGATATATATTTCTAAAGAAGGCTTTTATTATTACCACTTTTGGAACACATGAGAGCACACTTACCTCATCTTTTTTTCTGGACATTTAACACTTAGTGTTCTCACTAATCAGGTGTCTTCCTGCAGGGCTCTGAGCTCTCCACAGATGGGTCATGGTTATCTTATTGCACCGACACATCCTTAAGTCTTAACGGAATGCTTGGCTCACAGTAGGTACTTAAAAATATCTGTTAATAAAACAGATGAGCGTTGAAGTCATCCTACAGAGTCTGCTTCGATAATGTAGTATTTCCACAAACTTCCCATTGTGGGAAACTTCACTTTCTGAGCTTGACTTCTCATCCATAAAATAGGAGAGGACTACCCCATCCTTCCACTTTGTGTGTGTGTGTGTGTGTGTGTGTGTGTGTGTGTGTGTGTGTGTGTGTGTGTGTTATGTGTGTGCACACGTGTGCGCGCACGTGCACACACGCGCGCATGTACACAGCTGTGTCAGTGCATGTACATACATTTATAGAGGACACCCTGAGGTTCAATTCCTCAGGTACCATCCACCTATTTTAGTTTTGAGGCAAGGTCTCTCTATGACCCAAAGCTCGCCAAGTAAGCAAGGCACACTCACCAGGGTACCTCAGGAAATATCCTATCTCTGTGCCCCAGCACTAGGAATAAAAGAGTGTGCCAGTGCACCCAATTCTTTCACTAGGGTTCTAGGGACCAAATGCAACATCTGGGTCTCCATAGCCCCAGGAGGAAATGTCTTAGCTAGATTGTTGTGACTCCTAAACAGGACATATGTGAACTGTGGAGTGCCTGACACAAGAATATAGGTCTACAATAGCTACCTGGTTTGCTTTTTAAACTCAAGGCTTGCCCATTCCAAAAGGTTTTTCCTGAGTCTTTGGAAGTTCATACACTAGGAGTAGGGGAAAGACAAGTCCTCGAAAGGCTTGTTCCCCAGAGTGCCACAATGCAAACGGACCTATTGTGCTGAGTGTAGGCACAGAAGAGCAAATGCTGTCTGTAATTATCCAGAAGAGGGAAGGTGGGACATGATGGGAACCAGAACAGAAATGGAGCACAGCATTGCAAGGGCTAAGGGATAAAATATAGATGCACAGTAGTATAGACATCAGTCAAGGGATGGCCTACATTTGAGCATCTGGTTAATAAACTGGAGATGGCAAATTGAGATATACAGTATAGGGCTGACATCAAAGAAAGAATGGAATTTGGACATTTATTTAGCAGCTATTACACATGGGACAATGAGTAAAGAGTATATATATATATATATATATATATATATATATATATATATATATAGAGAGAGAGAGAGAGAGAGAGAGAGTTTAAAGTGTTCTCACACAGTACATCTCAGGCTCTAGTGAGACTGTATGGGGTTTCCACCCAGCTTCTTCTGCTTATCAACTCCATGAAAAGGCATACTGCTTAAAATTTCTTGTGGCTATTTCCTCATCTATAACCAAGAGGGTAGTAGTAGTTACACCTCACAAATTCTTATGGCTATGGAGTTGTTCCATGTATACAATAATGCTTAGAAGGCTGGGGAGGTGACTCGGTGGCTAAGAGCACTTGATGTGGAAGCAAGAGGACCTGGGTTCAACCCCCAGCATTCATGTCAAGCTACACATGACTGCATGTCCCTGCCACTCCAGCATTTGGGGAGGAAACAGAGATCTGGGGAGCTTGCTAGCCAACTTCTGGTATAGTGATAGGCCCTGTCTCAAAAACTAAGGTGTGTTGCGGAATTACTATTTGAACTATGTAAAGATGTGTTATGTTTGTTTATGCTGCAGATTATTACTTTAACTATGTAAGGTATGTTACATTTGTTTATGCCACATTTGTTTAATTATGTAAAGATGTGCTGCACTTGTTTCATCTTGCCTGCCTGAGGGACCTGATTGGTCTGATAAAGAGCTGAATGGCCAATAGCTAGGCAGAGACAAGGTTAGGTGGGGCTGATGGGCAGAGAGAATAAATAGAAGGAGAAATCTAGACTTAAGAGGAGTGAGAGAAGAAGAGAGGAGAGAACAAGGGAGAAAGAGAGGGAGATGCCCAGGGCCAGCTAGGCAGCTTCCAGCCAACAGATACCACATAGGACATACAGAAAGAAAGGTAAAAAGCCCCAAGGTAAAATGTATATTAAGAGAAACAGGTTAATGTAAGTTGAAGGAAAAAGCTAGCCAGAAACAAGCCTAAGCTACGGCCAAGCATTCATAACTAATAATAAGTCTCTGCATCGTGATATGGGAGCTGATTAGTGGAGCAAAAAGAAAAATCCTTGTATAAAGGTGGAAAAATAATAAAGGAAGACTCCCTACATCATCCTCTAGCTTCTGTATACATGAACATGGGTGTTCACACCTACATACAAACATACACAAAAAAAAAAATCGTGTGGCATATATACATGGTGAGGACTCATTAGATTTTCATTGCTATAGTGAAATTTTGCACTTACTCATTCTTTTTAAAGAGATGATGAAGCAAATGCCAGGCCCATCTTCCACCGAAAAGAGTGATGTGTGGAAGTTGATGATGAACCACCCATTCATCTCAAGAGACCAAGGCTAAGTGTGAATAGTGAGCGTGCAAATGCAAAATCTCTAACCATAGGCAACGAGAATCCAGGAGACTCAGCAGCTAATGCCAATCCAGAGCAGCAGAGGTTAAGGTCTAGGAAATGGGGAACAACATGGAAATATATATATACATATATCGTTCAGTCCGTAAAGTGGTTGTCGTATAAACACAAGGACCCAGTCTACAGTCATTCCACCCCAAACACTGGGTTCCCCCAGAAACAGGGATCATTGAAAATATCTGTGCTGGAGGTCACATGACCCACACAGTAGCTGATTCCTACTGAAACTCAGGAGAGCTGAATGAATCTTGTAAACTAACCTTTCAGATTAATTATTCCCACAGGCCACCAGTGACCACGCTGGCCTAAAAACAGAACACTCGAGCTCCTGCAACCGGCACCCACCTCCTCCTCGTCTCTGCTTTCATCCTTCCCTCTTTGCCCGTCTAGTCGTGTGTGTGTGTGTGTGTGTGTGTGTGTGTGTGTGTGTGTGTGTGTGTGTGTGACACTCTAGGGAGGACACTGTTCCTTCTACCTCCACCTGACAAATTCATTCTAATCTGCATGCCAGCTACAGGCTGCCTCCTCTGTGGAGACTCCCCTCCTCCCCAGGCAGTAAGCCAACTCTGCTTCTCTTAGGCAGCAGACAGTTGCTGCTTTGAATTAGAATCATGTACTATCTGCCTTTTGTCCTCCACACAGTGACACATTTCTTTAATGAGACCATAGTTTCATTTCATTCTTATTTTCTTTTTCCAATCATCATCATTGTGTGTGTGTGTTGTTGTTGTTGTAGTTTGACAGCTGTGTGAAATAAAAATGCGTGAAGGAATAAAAAAAAAGTTGATTTTATAAATGCCTTACCTAGAGTCAGGCTTGCTTTTATAATAAAGGCCAAGCTAACCGTAAGGTTAGCATTAGTAATAGTGAGTATGAACTAGCACTTATCAATACTATGAGCCAAGAATGGACTAAGACCTAGCAGAGTGAAGCAGTGGTGAATGAAAGACTCATATCTGCACACACACACACACACACACACACACACGCACACCCATATAGCCGGTGCACAGGAACAGGCATTTGTCAAATCCCAGCCCAAATATATAATTGCAAACCATGAATGATAGAGAGAAAGACATTACAGTAAGTTTCGAGAACACAAACAAAGGGACAATATCTAATTGGGGGCAGGTCATGGAAGGCTTCCTCAGGGAACTGATGTTTCAATTCAGATTTGAAATGATGATAGCAGTGGCTCACGGACCGTGCTGAGGCTTGATGGCAGGGAACTGAACAGAGTGGCCATTAATGGCATCTTGCCCTGCCATCAGTTTCTAAGACTGTGTGCGGATGAGCAGTGGCCTGCCATCCGTGCTAATAATTTTGAGTGTGTGTCGAAAAAAGGGAGGCAGGCCCTAAGAGGAATGGTTGAGAGAAGAAGGTGATAAAGGAGGGGAGAGATAAGACTCGAGGGTGGGGGTGGGGAACAGCTCAATGAATTAATAATAAACCTGAGTGTGTAGAGAAAAAAAAAATCACAAGTAAAAATGAGGCGATGTTGAGGACGCCGTTAGTTTCTGTTGTGGACATGACAAATCCTTTAAGCCTTTAACTGTGACTGCTTTGCGTTTGCTGTTAAACTTTCTGCATTTGAACTTGAAGCTGAAAGAAAATCTTACTGTGCCTTACATTCGAAGAGGCACCTCTGTATCCACATCTGGAGCCCGTGTGAGTGATTGCCTGTGGGGTGTATGGAATGACAGAAGTCCAGTGAGTAATAAGGTTAGGTGAGATCAAAGGTGAGAGGTGAGGTCAGTGCCTTGATGTCTTGGGCTCAGGCTGGATTCTGTTTATAAGCACAGTTGTCGTTGCACTTGTGGAAATAACTGGGATGGTGGTGTGCAGCTGGACAAGGAGAAGGCAGGTGGAGTTGTAGTGATGGTTTCTGGAGTCCTTTGCCAGGGGTTAATAGCTTAAGAATAGAAAAAGAAGCCAGAGAAGGCACAAGACTTATGAGACAATGCACTAAGGGTTTGATATGGATGGGGAACTGTTTATGCTTAGACGACCTGGATAATCACTGGATTTCCCCATGTGATCTCATGAACTTGTCCACCTTTGCTGGCACAATAACATGGAGATGCCTACGGCAGAAAGAATTCCAGTTTGGGTAGACCTGTGCATTTAGACTCCAGTGGGTTTGGACTTGAAGATTGGTAGAATCAAGGGAAGAGTGCTGAGTGTCTAGGCTAATGAGAACATAGAGTAGAGAAGATAGAAGTTTCACGAACACAAGAGGAACATTGTCTGCTTAACAGGGTCTCAAAGCTAAGTGGTGTTAGGAAACACGAATAAAAGTGATTTATCCAGGTGCCTCCTTTTCACCTTCACGTGTCTTCCACCGTGTCAAAAGATCTGTCTTGGGAGAATCCTTCTCTAAGCTGTTAAGTCTTTACAGTCTATAAGGCTCCTTTATTAAAGCATTAACACCCATGGGAGGAACCCACCTTATTAAATAATATCTCAGAGAAGGATTAATCCATCAGCTATTCTCATAGGTACCGAGAGGAATCCTGAGGCCCTAAAGGGAGGAGATGTGGGAGAGCTGCGGGT